CCATACTGCTTTCCACAGGGGTTGCACCTTTACAAACACACTTCCATAATAGCTTGCCTCCGGAAACCCTGTGAACCTGGAGAGAGGAAGAAAGGCACTCAAGCATCAAGGACTCTCCATAGGGTCGCTACGAGTCACCTGGGACTCGACGGCACTTAATAATATCAACAGAGAGAGAGAGAGTGATCAGCTGGCTCAGTGGACAGAAAGCGATACTACCAAGCCAAAGGTGGGTGAGTTTTAATCCGCTGCCCTCAGGCCTGTCTTTCATTGTTTTTGTTCAGACATTCCTCTAGGTCGTAGTATAGCCCTGGTGTACAAGCTGCTGTACTGCGTTCACTTTTGGTTGCTCTGAGGCTGAACACCGTGATACTGGTGTGTCAAATGTGTTAATGATTGGCTAACCAATGCGGACAGAGAGTGGGGTGGAGCTCCCCGATTACAACAAGCTTGGAAGGAGGAGTGGCATCTACTTCTATGATAGCTTGCCTCTGGAAACCCTATGAACCTGGAGAGAGGATGAAAGGCACCCAAGCGTGGAGGACTCTCCTTCATAGGGTCACTATGAGTCGCCTGTGACTCAACAACTTGACAGCACTTAACAACAACAACCACCACCTTCCTTATGATTCTCAATAAATACCCAGAGAGGCATGGCCTGAGGCCTTCAGTCATGGGAACTTTTGGCCCCTTGTTTTTCAAGCTCTCTGTTCTAGATCATTCCTGGTAGTCTGTCTCATTATTAATAATTATAAAAATCCTTTACCCTCGGTCTGCAACACCCCTCCTTCTCCAGCAGAGCATCTGGTGCATTCAAACCGCCCACCTTCCAGATTGCAGCATAGCTTCTTGCCACTAAGCCACCAGAGCTCCCTTCCATTAGTCCCTTTATTCCTTGAATGCCATTTTAAATTAGCACTTGCTCTAGAGTTTACACCACTTTCACACAACCCCCAATTTTTCCTCTCCCTGCACCTTGACCTTTTCTCATCTATTAAAATTCAAACCACAGGAAGCTCTGGTGACCTAATGTTAAAGAAAGAAATGGACTGACAACCCAAAGACACATGGTTTGAATCCACCAGCTGTTCCATGAGAGAAATAAAATTCAAGCTACCTTTTTCTGACGCCTTGGTCTGCTCCTCAACCCAAAATATTTAAAAAAAAAAAAAACCTTATCATTGATATATTGTTCATGAGACTGATATAAATTCTGTGAGACACAATTTTTGGTATTTTGAAAGTTTAAATCCCTATTTTAAAGTTCGGAAAGATGAGTGGAGCAGCTGGATTATATAAAGGTGTTTTCTGTTTTGTTTGGGTGTGGCCTGTTGCTTGCAATTAGGTGTGAGCTGATTGGATTTGGCCTCATATTTTAAAAAGGCTTTTGGGGGACCTCTGGTGGCCTAGTGGCAAGACGCTGCACTGCAATCCCAGAGGTACGAGGTTCAAATCCACCAGATGCTCTGCTGGAAAAGGAGGGGGCAGTCTCCTCCTGTACCAGTCAAATCTGATTTGACGGTACATGTAAAAATAATATAATAAAAATTTAAAAAGAAAAAAAAAGGCATTTGGTTGCTAGTTTTGGGGCTGCTTTAAAGTTCAGAAAGATGAGTGGATCAGCTGGATTCTACAAAGGTGTGTTTTCCGTTCTAGTTGAGGCTTGGGTGGGGTCCATCACTTTCAACTGGGTGTGAGTTGGATTTGGGCTTGTAATTGTTTTCAGTAAAACATTCTAAGTGGTATAGCACTGGTCTGTCAATTTGCTGTACAGAGGTAACTCCTGGTTGCTGATGGTAAACACTGATACTGATGTGTTAAATGCAATAATGATTGCCTATGGTG